GGTAGGGGATTTTGAGGCATTTATCATCTCTGCAGCATTGTGCAGCTGATTTGTAGCACTCACCTTAAAATTAGGCTCTTTATTTTCAGGATGTTTTTAAAATGTGGGATATATTTCTGGTCAGGCCATGGATTTTGTCTTCATACTATTCCACTGGTTGGCTGCTTGGTTTCTTTTTCTTTTTGTACATTTAAAGTTGGAGGTTGAGGAAACATATAGCCTAGGAAGCTAATAAAAAAAGTTTTTCCTGTGGACCACCAAATATGGTGAGGTTATTTTTGCAGTGCTGATGCACTAGCCCAAAGATAACGGTAAATAGTATCATGTCTTGGGTTTGTGAGAACACAGCCAGAGTAGTCCACTGAACCAGCCAATGGGAAAGTCAATACCATACTGACATCATGGGGTTTGGGTGTTGTGTTGGTTCTGCAGGGTTAAGCAGTTTGGGCAGTGAGTGCTGTGTTGTGTATCACCTGTTTTATATATTCTTTCATTAGTATGATTGTTATTACTATTGTTTCTTCTCTTTTTGTGTTGTTCTAGTAAACTCTCCTTATCTCAATCCATGGGGTTTTAACTTTTCCTGCCAATTCCCCTTCCTATCCCACCAGGGTAGGGTGTAGGAGATGGGCAGTGAGTGGCTGGCTGCATGGTGCGCAGTTGCTGGCTGGGTCACTAGCAGAAAGAAACCTGGAATATAAAGTCTGTGTTTGTTTGTTTTTTTCTAAATACCTCACCAGTGTGTCTACATAAAAGATATAGACCTATTCAGATAACATCCTCTGCAAATGCCAACGAGCAATGAAAACTGTCACTCATGATGACAAGTGGCTTCTAGCTAGCAGAAACCTATCACATGGAGCTAAGGGAAAAATTTCTTATGCTGTGAAAAATGTCACGCTTCTTAGCTGCTCTTAGGCTGACCAGCTGGCTGGGCTCTTAGACAAAGTAAGAAGAGAATTCTTGTTCCAGCTACTCTTGGATGCGGTCTACCCTTGCGTGGGCTAGCAGGGCTTGACAGGTCCTGACAGTGGTCTGTGGGAGAGGTCATTAGCCAAATGACCTGCTGATGCACAGGGAGTGCTTGTTTTTGCCAGGGTAGGGGGGAGGCTAAACTTCAACTAAAAGTGATCCTAAGAAACTGAATACAAGTGAGACAGCTCAGCATGAATTTGCTATTATATATAGAGGACAAGGCAAACTGAAATGAGACCTGCTGCTAAACAGGAGGCATAACTGTTCTTTTTTTCTGCTCATTTGTTTCCTAAATCTAAAAGACCTGACTTGGCTAGAGTTCATAGAATTGTCACAGAATTGTAGAATGTTTGGATTGGAAGGGACCTCCAAAAGTCATCTAGTTCAAGCACCCCTGCAATAAGCAGGGACATTTCCAACTAGGCCAGGCTCCTCAGAGCCTCATCAAGACACCTTGAATGTCTCCAGGGATGGGGCCTCCACCATCTCTCTGGGCAACCTATTCCAGTAATCTATCACATTCATATTAATAAACTTTTTCCTAATGTCTAATGTAAATCTCCCCTTTTCTAGCTTAAAGCCATTACCCCTTGTCTTGTCACCACAAACCCTTGTGAATAGTCCCTCCCCTGCTTTCTTGTGGGCCCCTTTCAGGTACTGGAAGGTCGCTATAAGGTCCCACCCAGAGCCGCCTCTTCTCCAGGCTGAACAACCCCAACTCCCTCAGCCTGTCCTCAAAGGAGAGCTGCTCCAGCCCTCTGATCATTTTTGTGCCACTCCTCTGGACACGTTCCAGCAGGTCCAAGTCCTTCTTTTGCTGGGGACTCCAGAGCTGGACACAGGACTCCAGGTGAGGTCTCACCAGGGTAGAGCAGAGCTGCAGGATCACCTCTCTCCATCTGCTGGCCACGCTTCTTTTGATGCAGCCCAGGATTTGATTGGCATTCTGGGCTGCCATAATTGCGACTTAATATAATTTTAGGAAAAGTTCTAACCATAATGACAAGAAATCCTTCACTTTCATCTGTCTACCACAACTGTAACAAGCAGAGAACATGTTCCTCATGGCTTTGAGTATGATGGCTGGCTTGAGTATAAAAAATCACACAGATCCCATGCAGGTAAATACATGTTGGTAGGAGCAGAAAACCTAATCTAAGATAGTTATGCTTTTAAATTTTCTTTGAATGGAAGGGAGGAAAAGAGGTGAGATTTTAAGTAAAGTCACTTGTCACTGCTATTTGGCAAAGTGAAGCTAGATTGTCATAAATGTTGTTCTCAGCAGACTGGCTGCAGAATATTAATTTAGATTTCATTGTGTATGAAACATGGAGGCATGTCATGGAACCTGTCTGCGGTGTCAGTGCATTACATGTGATGGTCTTAGCAATTGAGTGAGTTCCTGTGAGTCTCAGTGACAGACCCCCTCTTCCTCCTACGCAGCAATAAAACAGGAGACTTGTTTTCATCTTTATAGTGTTTCCTTCTGCAGGGAAACCGGTTCAGGGTACACTGTCTCACATCTGTTGCAGTGAGTACTTGCAAAGCATTGCAGCAAGTCCAGGAGTACTGTTGCATGCCTTGGCACACCACAGTTTCCTCAGCACAGAGTCCTTTTTCCTCCCCAGGGAGCACAATGCATGAAGTCCCCCCAGGCTGGAACCTTGCCTAGCAACCTGTTCTGTTGTGGTAATGGAGCATGCTAGATACACAAGTCATTAGAAAGAGCAGGTTTGCACTGTGCTAGTGTTTCCACGATTGCAAAGACTGTGATGCTGTCTATCCCCTTCCCCAAGTGAGAATCAGCTCTAGATCCATTGTTTTGCCTTATGCCAGGCAGGGCAGCTCACGAGGCAGAGTCTACTCACCCCCAGCCCCATGCCTGAGTGAAGAGATAGTTACCGCTTAGTAAACCTTGTAGTGTGTCAGCTAACAGTGGTTACCTCTCCTTCGTACCTTGCCTGACACTCTTTACACCACTGTGGCTGTTAGAACCCTTCTTTTAAACAGGTATTTCCATCAGCAGGTGGAGCATCTAGACGCTGCAGTCTGTCCAGCCATCTCTGGAGATTGAGGGGCTGTGTCCATGCTCATGACCTGCTTGCTGCTGGCATATTCCTGCATCGCTTCCTAATTTAGGGACTCATGGGAGCAGTATGGGCTGGTTTAGCCACTTGCTGATGCCACCGTGATTCTCTACTACTGGACTGCCAAAGGATTTTCTGTATCTCCCCAGAGGAGACAGGCAACTTTTTACATCACACAAGATAAACACTTTCAGGTGTTTGGATGTTTTTTACAACCACCATGAGTGCAGTTTGCAAGACCATGAGCCTGGAACAAGTCATTAATGCTATGAGCTGATTAACTTCTAGCACCTGTAGTATGTGCAGAGATGGAGGGAAGCCAAGCTTTGTTGCTGGTATGTATGGATTACGTCTTTCCTATTGTGGACAATCAAAAGGGAAGACTGGAATTAATGTATTTTTTTTTTCCTAACTGACAATGACATAATGTAGCTAAAGTTCTCAGAGAAATGCTGGTTTACTGAAAGGATGGGTTTCACACATGATTGTGAAACCCAACTGAAAAAAGGTTTTATGTAAGTGACCGGCTGATTTTGAAAGTACAATAACAGCCCCAAGGCTAAAAGTCTCCTTTGCCACCCCCAACCTTCAAATTACTACCAGAAAGCACCATCACAAAAAAAAGGGATTGAGCAATATCTTTGGAGCTAAGACACCTCTTCTAAACCTACAGTTGTTTGGTGAAATTTATTTGAAATTAGCTGGAGGTTTTCTCTGTTCCTTTGTTCATGAAGAGGTCTGTGAGCTCTGGCCCTAAATGAGTGATTTCAGTTGAGAGTCCTGCTATCCTCTCTCTTCCAGCTCAAAGCAGTTGCTAACATTTCAAAATAGAAAGATGGTTATCCTCCCTGAGCGGCTGCTGCCTGCCTCCAGGATGCCGCACTTGCCACTTGGACAGCACAGTGCTGGGAGGCTAGACTTTCAGATCCTGCTTACCCTTCCAAGGAGAGCACCTGGTGCACTGCACATTTTCAGAAAGACTGTGAGTGCATTAAGCAGTTGAAATGTTTGAGGTCTCTGTCAGATCGGTTTGCAAATGCACAGAGGTTTGCATATCTCTCTCTCTATTCCTTTTTCCCTCCATGACAGTGAAGGTGTATTGGTAACCTGCTTGATACTGACTACAGAACAGGAAGGATGAGGAAAGGAGTACTAACGTGTTCAGCTGCTTGCTGTGTTGACAGATTGAAGGTGGTCAAAATTCATCTCTTAGCTTGTTTTTCCCATGTAGATGAAATAAATTATCTCTATACATCGTGGTTTATCATAAAGAATCCTCATCATGATAAAAAAAAAATTAAATTTGGATGATTATCTTAAAATTTTCTGTGGGTCAGACCTCCAATTCTGAAAAAGTATTTTGCAGTCAAGACAATTAGAGGGTTGTGCCTCCAGGTTTTACTTACATATATTTCCACCCTCATCTCAGGGTATGCTTCTTCTTCAGCCACAGTGCATGGTAAAGACATGATGGGAGAAGAGGCCAATGCTATAGTAAAGACATGATGGGAGAGGAGGCCAATGCCATTATAATGTCTAATGAAAAAGTATAAGTGCAGTGATGCTAGCTTTGAATGCTGCACATGGTCTTCAGTTATTGCATCCTGTATCACCGCAAGAAGGATGTATCATTAATAATTTGCAGTAACACACAGGTTTTAATTTATTGAATTTTTTTTTCTGTTTCAAATAAATGGAAAAACCTAAATAATATATCTCCTTACAGCTCATGTTGTATGAGAGATGGCTGTGCTTTTAGAAGGACATTCACTCTTCCAAAGTGTCAAAGCTTGTACTTCAGCATTTAGGGAGGACACTTAGCCAAAGACAGTCTGCTTTCTTCTCCAATAGCCTGATTAAAAGGAAAAATATGGTCCAAAAGACTGGATTTGTTATGCTGAATGAGTGCTGTAGAGAACTGAACAGCAAATAACTTACCACGTCAATTATCTGCAGCAAAGAAAGCTGGAGCTCAACTACAAGTGGTTGGGAGTCATTCACTACCGGTCGTTCAAGACGATTGTAGTTTCTCAGCAGTTCTCTGTACAAACGCCTTTGGCTTTCACCCTGCTGAGAGACTAGGAGAAAAGAAAGAAGGCTTCTGTCATTCAGGTTGGTCACGAACATCCCCACAGTTTGTGTTTTGTTAAAAAAAAAAAACAAACTCTTAATAGGTTTGCAATTTGAAAGCATTTCTCAAAAATATTCTGCACATAGATGTGACAGACACAGTTTGCCTGCATATGTGACTGATGAGCTCTTAGGAAAATTTAACTACTAACACTCCAACTCATTACTAACCCTCACAAGCTACTGAACGGCCTTAGGAGCTCTGGTATTACTTGCTCATATTGGGTGTTTACCCAGCACAAGTAACAGGTATTTCTTGGAGCTGAAGTATCAGGCACTTTTCTGTGCTCAGAAAAGAGTAACAAGCCTTCTTCACACCCTCTTCAGTTTTGTGGGGGAGTCTTTTCATGCTTTGGGTCACTTCCCTTGCCTTTTTTCCTTCTGCTGGCAGCACAGACTAGGTTAACACCTATTGAGGTGGTGTTGTGAAGGTTAGAGTATTTGACAGGTATGTATAATGATACTGGCTTTCTGGTGTTACATGCTTATCTCAGCTTCCATTGGGGACAGCCTCAACACAGAAGCTGTCATACAAACATATAAGCAACATAAAAACTAGCAGAATTTCAGTCTACACGTAAATTACCAGATGCCTCATCTCTAGTTTGGGGTGGTTGTGGGGAGCATCCACGAAACCGGAGTGACCATGTTTCCTTGCCACAACAACCAGGGATGGGGCAGGGTAGCACTGATGGTTTGGGTCTCTTCCCATGCGAAGGTGGGCGCTTTGCTGGCACGCACTGCCCAGAAGCTTAGGTTCACCCCAAACAATGTCGATGCAAGCTTGGTGCTCTGGCCCATGGCAACCTGAGTTCTACATAAAAGCTGCATCTAACAGAGTGAGGGTCATGGGCTGCAGGTTCCCTGAGGCCAAACCAGTCCTGTCAGCATGAGTGTGTATTCCCTGAACTGTAGAAATCCGGTCCCCGGCAGGGAATCTGCACTCTAAATTATTATTACTTTGGACTGAAGCTTCTTTTATCCACTGCAGCTCCCAGTATCTGTACGTGAGATTTTTTAACTCTTGAGCAGAGATCTCTGCATGAAAAACAGGACTTCTCTCACAGTGGTTATGATGAACATATTTTTAACATAACAAAAAAACAAAACAAAACAAAAAAAAAAAAAACAAACAAACAAAAAAAACCAACAACAACAACAAAAAAAAAAAACATAACAAAACTTAACAACCAGTTCTGCCTTCCTCAGACTCCTACTGTGTTCAACAAACCTTGCAAGCCTGGAACAAGCTGCTCTCCAACAGAGCAGCTATGACTTTTAAAGCTAATACTAAATTTAGCTTATAAAAGTTTATAAGTCTGTTTAATTCATGTTCTCTTCAGTTTTCCTGATACTACAGGGATCTTTTTGGCTTTCCAGTATGGCGGTGCCCATTGAACAAGGAAGAAAAGTACTTTTGTTCATTTTGTTAAGGTACAGCATGACATAATCTTCATGGGCCCTCTCTGCTCTTGCATGGTACATTACATGAACATGAGGACCCATAGGAGCAGATACTGTAAGAGATGCTCCAATATCCTTACTGACATGTTAGTATTGGGTGCTATGTTTTCACCGTTGGCAAAGACAACTTTGGCCACAGTATCTCTCCTTCACCAGCTTTAGTAAGCTTCCCTGTAAAGCAATGATTTAGGTCCTCTGTTACAGGCTTAGAACTTGCTTTCCAGTGCTTTAGCAGACCCCGACTCTGTTGTAAGATCCTTTTGTAGAAAAGAAACTCAATACACAATGTTCTATGGAAAGAGGCTCTGTGTTTTGAGCAAATTTCCTGTCCTTCCACTCACCTAGACAGATGGACTCTTCGCTGGGTTAAAAACTGGCTGGATGGCCAAGCGCAGAGAGTTGTGGTGAATGGGGTTAAATCCTGTTGGCAACCAGTCATGAGCAGTGTCCCTCAGGGCTCAGTTTTGTGACTGGTCTTGTCTAATATCTTTATCAATGACCTGGATGTTGGAATCAAGGGCACCCTCAGTAAATTTGCA